AATAAAAAAAATAAGAAAAAAAAAAAAAAAAAAAAAAAAAAAGAAGTGGTCTACTATGGACTTTTGCAATGCAAGACCCACAAAAATTCAAAATATTATGTTTACAAAGCTAGCTTCCAAATCTTACAGGATATAATTAAAATATATTTAAAAACAGAGAAAAGAGCCACTTAAGCACCAAAAACTAACTGAAAACACACAAAGCATGGGTTTGGATAGTTTTTTTATTTTTTTATTTTATTCCCTCTCTCTTTGCAGTCAATAATCACAGCACAAATGAGAAATTCAGTGCTGCAACAACCTCCGAGCTCACAGCGGTGTCAGAGCAAGACATCACTGTGAAGCAGCCACTTTTCCCAAGTATTTAAGCAACACCCGACACATCACACTGTACCTTGGTATCCAAGCAAACATAGCAGCGATTTACACTACTGGTTCCCACCAGGGATAGTTTAAAACACTTTCCAACATCCCTTTGTAAAGGCTCTCATGAATAGCTTCCAAATGCTTGCGATTTACAAAGTATAAGTTTTGGAGAGAACAGGCTTCCTAAATTAAAGCTTACATACCCAGTATTATTCATGATTTCTATAATTTGCTTGCTGAAGCCACATTTTGCCACCTAGAATGCAGAAAAAAAGTACACGTTAAAATATTTTTGCTGAACTTAGGTCATTTAAATCCTTAGAACTCCAACTCCTCGGATTACACTACAGCTAATATCCGTTTTTGCTAACAGCATCCTCACCAGATGAGCATTCACTCTTTTATACATTCTCTTTTTCACTCTTACACTTCTCTCTGACCTACTAAACGCTGCTGAACATTTCTTTCTCTATATAAAGTGAGAGAAAGTCTTCAGGGTGGTGATCACTTACTCGAGGTGAGGTGAAGCGACACCAGGTGAACCTGTTTGCCGAGGTTGGCGGTACTAACCTGAAACTAACTGGGTTTCAGGATTTTCTGAACATTCAAAGAGCCAAAGCTGTAGGTAGGCTGAACACAAATACCTAATATAAATCTGTAAGAAAAGATGTGATGTGGAGCATACTCCACCCTTTACCTACCCTTTTGGAGAGAGCACCCTATGGCCAACAGAAACTGTGTGCATGTAGAGCAAGTTTTATTTTCAATTATTAAGTAACTACTGCCATTTTTTTTTTTTTTACAGTGACATCTACAAAATTGTATATTTAATCCAGAGCTCTTGCTGATGTACAAAGAGGGCCCAGGGAACGAGTGAGCAAATGAAATGGAAAGAAATCACACGACTGAGCCCAGTTTCTACCTCTGTGTCCTTTCTAAAAAAACCAATGTATAAACATCTCGAAATCTGATCACTAAATACAATTAGGTTTTGCTCATGGAACATCACTCCAATGAAAAGTTTAAGGTGAGCTGGGTGCTGTTCAGGTAACTCCGACAAAGAAATGCACTGCCTTGCTGTTCAAATGGGAAAGTTTTGTCCCTTGGCTGCCCTGCAGAGGCATCGAACAAACAGGATAACTTCTGGTTTCTAGTCATTTGCCATTATTTTAATCGTAATTGTAAGCAGTCACTTGTCTTGGGCCCTATCGTTATTTCAGTGTGCAAAATAGATAACAGATGCACTCAAAGACACCAGGTGTTGACCACTCCATGCATGTGAGAAGAGTGATCATTTATGGCAGGTGACATTACACATTAACCTTGAAAACATCCAGCAGCTTTTTTTCAATGAAACTGTGCTAGTATAACAACATCACAGAGATTAAAAAGCATAGGACTCTCAATCCAACAAGGTCAGCAGAGGGAAAATATACAGAATTAGCCCCTAGGGTAACAGTCAGAGCACACAGCTCAGGCAGGGCAGGCTTTGGGAGGAAGCGCCCAGAAGAAAATTCATTATCTGCAAAACCATCAATGCCCAAGAACACAAGGACATGCACCGCCGCTATCAGGACTGCACGATTTAGTTAATTTGGGTAAAATATGGACTGCTCTTCTACGACTTACAGAAGCAGTGGGTAAAAACACAAGTAACTTCCCAGAACTATTTTCACTGACAAAACAAGAAGGTAACTGTCACTAAGTGTTGCAAAACAACAATTCTATTCGCTGCCGTTCAAAGAGTATTTTAAGCCTTACCTGTTTATTCCCCTTCATAAAAAGCATCACGGGAGCTTTGTTTATCAAAGCTTTAAGCCTACAGGAGACAGGAAGAAAGGAAGACACAGAACAGCTCAGTTGTTATCCTAGGTTTTTGTTCAACAGGAAAACAAATGCAGAAAGTGGAAAGATAACTTACACACTTACCAAATGTATTTAAAGCAGCACTATAACCAACTGTATTCATTCTTATTGTTCCTTTTCACTCACTACAGTTATAAACAATCCTATTACTTTTAGAGCAAAAATTTACTTTTCTAGATTGACCTTTAAGTATCAAGAAGCAATAAATTTAAGGAAAAAAATATTTTTGTGATATTTTTAATACGATATCTATATTCAGTCACATAAGACACACCACTTTCTAATACTGATTATAACACTTAACATTTCTTATTCTTCACAGCCGCTATCCATGGGCCATAAGTGTAAGGACTAGGCACTACTGAAATTCAGGAACAGATCCACTTTGCCCCACTGTGCCCGGTCACCTTCAGGCCTGTCCTTGGTCCACCCACAAAACCCCAACACTTCTTCCCCTCTCCTCATAGGAGAGGTGTATTGGGACAACTAGGTTTGCTAGGAAAAAACCAGCAAAGCCTCCTGGCCAGCAGCTTTCTGCCAAAGGCAGTTTATCTTTCATACAGGGTATGGCAAGGGGGCACTTTCTGTGAAAGGTCACTTTGCACGACTCGCACAACACAACAGGATTCTAAACTGGGGAATCGGGGCTCTTTGCAAAACAAAACTAAACGTGTTGGTGACCTACAGCCCGTGCACTGTAAACCTAAACAATTTTTCCAGGCAAGTTGCCTCTAGGGAAAAAGCAATGGTAAACTAACAATTACCCCAGAGGTGAGACCAGCTCCCCAGCTGCCAGAAAAGCTTTCTGGTAAAATCAAGCTTATTTGCAGAGCTCATTTTCCAGAAGACTTTCAATTAAGCAGGCACAGTTCATTGATGGGAATAGATCAAATATTGAGAAAAGGATCAGAATTTGGCATTAAATACGTTGTGCTACTGATATGCCTTCATTTTATTAAGTCTTAACATGCTCAAACAGCTAGCCCACAGATTCTGTTTGTTATTTAAATGAGTGACTATCCTGATAGTGAATATAGCTAAAAAGAGAGCTAGTTTACAAGGGTAAATACAAATAAAAACTAATTGGTGCTGTAGCAGTAAACAGTTCTCACCAGAAAGCAGAAGGCAGACCTCAACAGCCTGCAGGGCATTGACCACAAACACACCCATCTACTAGCAGAGAAATAACTAACTGTGCAACAAGGAGGAACCTGCGACTTGCCTGGTATTTTGTACATCAGAATTTTAGAAATTTGAGAAAATTTCACACATCTGCTCAGAAGATGCTGCTGCTTCTTTACGCAGACATCTAGCTACACCGACAACTTTATTTTATTAAACACAGTAAGTCATGCACATTTCACATTACCTTCTCTTCCTCAGAAGACTAATCACAACAATAAAACTACCTATAAACTCAATGAAGTTCAATGCTTTGCAAGTTAGCCAAGGAACAGACCAAGGGACGCTTTCTAAAATTTATTTTAGAAAGGACACAAAGACAATTCCGTCTTTACATATAATTTAACCTCGGTTAGGTGGCAGACAGTAGGAAGCGACTGCTTTTTGTGGGCTCGGTGAAACCATTTCCTGATGACCCCAGCAGGGTAACAAGGGACCCCTCAGGAGCAGCAGCACGTGAGCCTGGCAGACAGGGCAGGGAACAGCCCTCTCACCACGGCTGCCTCGGCGGCATTCCCGAGCCGTGCTTCACCGGGACGGCACAGCCAGAGCAGCCACCTCTGGAGCTCCATTCAAACCCCTCTGGAGCGGGGTTTCCCTCTCACCATCCTCACGCAGCAAGGGGACAGCTATGCTAAGGTGTCTGCCTCCAAGGCACAGGCCTGTTTCTTGTAAATCAGCCTTCCTTTGGCCTCTCAATGGCACTGGTCACACAAGGGCTGAATGCCACCAGACTAGCAACTCCTCTCCCGTTAGCCTGCCTCCGTAGGGCAGCATTTCCAGCAGCACTGCATCTTCAAACGGGAACGTTAAAGGAGGACATGCTGCCTTCTACATACACCATCTGACCCAGGAAGCGACACTTCCTATGGACACTGCACAAACTCGTACTGCCAAAGTGGAGGAAAACAGGAACCGAAGGACAGGGCAACCAAGAAAGTGGGAAGACAAGCCAGGATACTTTGCCCACACCAAGGCTATAGTTACAAAGGGAAGTGTGTGTCTAAAAGTGCAAAAAAGCTACTAGCGTCTTTACAAGGTTTTCTGAACTACTTTTCACAGTTCTTTAAAAGAATCAAGAAATCTATATATTCACGCTAAAACTAAAAAAAATCACAATCTAAAACTACAATAAGTAAAGCTTATTAGAACAGTATAGCTTTATATATTTTATATAAAAAGTGATGTTTACTATACAGAAAACAGAACATGTTAAACTACTTGAAATAAAGAGAACAGGGGTTCTGCAATTAACAAAAGTGTGGACTTCCTGCCAAGAAAGTCAAAGACAATTAATTTCTGCAGCAGATTGCCGTAAACAAATTAATAGGGAAGAAAACTCAAAAAAGAGCCCCCCTAAAATACAGATATGTCACACCTGTCCTCCAACTTGCATGCCTTCGGACAGATCGTGTCCAGCTCTCCAGAAGCCTCAAGTTCCTAGAGAGAGAGAAAAAAAGGAGATATGAAAAGGAAAAACCGCTTCTGATAACCAGGAAGATTAAGACATTTCTCAGGTTCTAACCTTGATAATATCCAGTCCACCTATTAGCTCTCCAGCTACGTACAACTGTGGATAGGTTGGCCAATTAGAATATGTTTTCAGTCCCTGACGAACTTCTTCATCAGAAAAAATATCAAAACTGCTAAATGAAATACCGTGTTTGTTCAGTATCTCCACCATTTGTTTGCTGAAACCTGCAAACACAAAAGGAGAAATTACATATAAACAAAGCGTTCCCATATCTGCATTAAACTTTATTTGTTAAGAAATGCAAATCTTTCAGGCAATAACTTCTCACCAACAGCTCCACTGTATTACTCTGTGTTAGCATTCCCAAAAATTATAAAAAGGAAAAAAAAAGTTAATTACTGGGCTTGTAATACCAAGGACATTGAAGAGTTCGGTAAGTCTGGGGCTTGTCTCCACAGGGCGCTGCACAGTGAGTACCCTTCCCTCATGCACCTCCCTGTTGATCCCAAACATGGCTAAGGGTGAACAGGAGCAGCCCCCTCCTGTCTCCTGCCCCGCTCCGAGGGGAGGCTCCTCGGCGGCCTCGGCCCTTCCTGCCACTTCTTCCTCCACCAATACGAACCTTCTGCCACACCAGAAGTGCATGAGGTTAATGCAAGGCAGGACTCAAACCCACTACCATGTCACTGATTTAACTTAGTAACTTGTTTTTATTTATTTTTTTCTACTACTGCTTACAGAGCTGCTTCTTTTTACTTCACAGTAAGAGACAGATACCTATTTTTTTCTTTTTCTTTAATGTTTACATTCATGTAAGTCTACAACCCTATGACATGTTCACTTATGACACTTTCCAGTTGTGACCCATTTTCGTTCTGTCCTATTCTGACAACAATTTCTTGCAGGATAGTAACTGAAAATTAAAATGTAAAGATCCCTATTTTATAAATTTATTACGTAGCCAACATTGGAAAAGAGATTTTCCCTCCTGTAACTAAGAAAAATACAATGTTATATGTAAAAAATAGAATCATAGAATCATTATGGTTGGAAAAGACCTTCAAGATCATCAAGTCTAAATGGATGGATGGTGATTGAGATACTATAAAACTTACAGTCTAAAACACATAAATCTTCTCTTGCTGAAGAGAAACTCATACAAAATTTTCTGAAGAAGTCTCCTTACTCTCTACTTTAAATGCACCATTATCACTCATTAAAAGCGAAACTTAAAATTCAATCTTTTAAGCGCAATTTTGTTTTTTTGCAATCATTTTCCTCGGAAGCTTTCCAGAAAAGCCAAAGGCGCCCAGGCTGTACCCCCGTGCCAACCCGGCCATCCTTTACGGGGTACGTGAAGAGCAGCGCTCCACCCGGACACGCCAGGCCCCTTCCTGCCCTCCTCGCCCTGCAGCTGCCCCGGAGCGTCGCCGGGGGGCCGCGCCGCGAGGGGCCCAGCCGCTGCCGCCTTCCCGGGAAGCACAGGCCTCCTGGAGAACACGCTGGGACACGCTTTGCTAAAGTGATCCAGGGCAACTTGCCCACCAAACCAATGCGATAACAACGTACGTGTTTCGCCAGCTCATTCTGGTTTGGATTCACATAACCTCGCAATCCTTCCAATTTCATAAAAGCATCCCAACATATGCTGTGCAGACAAATAAAAACCTCTACACAAATATATATTAAAAACCCCAATGCTTAAAGGCTTTAAAAAAGAAATGAAAAAAGAATTTTGAAGTGAGGAAAAGAGAATCAGTGCCATACAAGAATAATCTTTGATTTCAGCTTGCAAGACCACCTATTAGTTTTTGAAATATGGATTTTTTTACTGCTGCTTTCTGCAGTTTTCATGATCTGCAATTTATTGAGATATGAAGTAGTAGTATTTATATGTATGGCATCTAGGTTGCTTTTCTTTCTACAGCTGAAGTGTTAAGTTCATGTACAGCCTGAAGTAAAACACAGATTCTGAAATTTTTCATACATCTGGGAGTTCATTAGTAAACAGCTAAGGGCTGATTGCTGATGGTTATTCCATTGCCAATATATTAACTCATTTCTACTGTAAGAGACTGGGGGGAAAAAATAAAGCTTTATTTTAGCTGTAGGCAATTACATGCAAACTAGAAAGATTGATTGGTGGGGTTTCATTTTGAAGGGATATGGTAGCAGTCTGGGATAAAGCGCCAGAGCAGCTTTACTCTCATAACAAAAGATTTAGGTTGAGTTTCTGAAGAAACACCATACATGTATTACGAAGATCATTAAACCATGAACAAAGCGTTTTAAGTGGTTATCTAAACAACCACAAGCACCACTCTGGATTCTACTCTGACAACAGCTAGACTGTATATTATTGTGTCAATTAAGCCAATAAACAAATACTGTTAGAGTCGGAAAAAATGAGCTGAAATCACACAGCGTGGCCAGCAAGCTGACACAATGGCCAGCAGCCACAGCCAAGGGGACAACCCTCCCGCTGCAGAGAAGCAGCTTTCCAGCGAAGGAATTGCAGGTTGCAAAACCAGCTCACGGACACTGCTGGAGAGGGCTCCACACCACTCACCAGCTGCCTTCAAGACACCACCTCAAGTCTATTAGTTGGATCAAAACAGGCAAGAATAACAGACAATTCACCAAGATGTTCACCTTTGGGAGGCTGGCTTCC